ACACACACACACACACACACACTCACTCTCTCTCTCTCTCTCTCTGACGCTGATGTAACTTACGGTGTGTGTGTGAGCTCTGAATGACACACGGATGGCTCCAGCGCTGGATCACGTGGTTCCGCCCCTCCTCTGCTCTCCAGTGTCTCTGCGCTTGTTTGCGTGTCTCTCTGTCCTGTAGTCAGACTGCTGCTGTCCGCGTCGCTCAGTCTCTCTCGCTGGGCTCCGGCCGGTTCTGCCCGGCTGAAATGAAACAGGCTGCCCAGGCGCCTGAGGAAGCCATCAGCAGGGGGCACAGTGGAGGCGCTTGGAGGAGCCGAGTCCCCGGCATCCCCTCGAGATCCGTCCTCCGTCTGTGACGCTGTGTTTCCGTCCGGCGCGTCAGACGACTGCGACTCCTGGAGAGAACATGAGGAAATCAGCGCGGAGCTCTTCCTGTAGCAGCAGCCTCTCTCTCTCTCACGCCCCTCCCCCAGTACATCCCACCCAAACACTTAACCCCTTCAGTCCCTGACTGCCAACACTGGGTTTTATAATGTTACAAAACTAAACCGTTAGTAAAACTACTTAAAAACAAAAAGAAAGATAGATATTTTTTATTGCATAAACTCAGCCTCTCTGTTAAGACTGTCCTAAAAACTAGTCTCAGCGATTACCAGTTTGCCAAAGGTTAATCAGTCTTCATTTTCAGATCCAATTATTATTATTATTATTACGTTTTACATTACATTTTAAACTAAAATAATTAGATAACTAAAGGCTGGAATACACTACATGACTTTTAACATCAGATCATATTTTAAAACACTAGGCATCATACACTTGCTGAGGAAAACCTGGCCATCACACACAAACCCCTGAGCATCCCACACTAAACCCCTGAGCATCCCACACTAAAATACTGAGCATTCCACACTAAAATACTGAGCATCCCACACTAAAATACTGAGCATCCCCCACTAAACTACTGCGCATCCCACACTAAACTACAGAGCATCCCACACTAAATATCACACACTAAACTACCGAGCATCCTACACTAAAATACTGAGCATCCCCCACTAAACTACTGCGCATCCCACACTAAACTACAGAGCATCCCACACTAAATATCACACACTAAACTACCGAGCATCCTACACTAAAATACTGAGCATCCCCCACTAAACTACTGCGCATCCCACACTAAACTACAGAGCATCCCACACTAAATATCACACACTAAACTACCGAGCATCCTACACTAAAATACTGAGCATCCCCCACTAAACTACTGCGCATCCCACACTAAACTACAGAGCATCCCACACTAAATATCACACACTAAACTACCGAGCATCCTACACTAAAATACTGAGCATCCCCCACTAAACTACTGCGCATCCCACACTAAACTACAGAGCATCCCACACTAAATATCACACACTAAACTACCGAGCATCCTACACTAAAATACTGAGCATCCCCCACTAAACTACTGCGCATCCCACACTAAACTACAGAGCATCCCACACTAAATATCACACACTAAACTACCGAGCATCCTACACTAAAATACTGAGCATCCCCCACTAAACTACTGCGCATCCCACACTAAACTACAGAGCATCCCACACTAAATATCACACACTAAACTACCGAGCATCCTACACTAAAATACTGAGCATCCCCCACTAAACTACTGCGCATCCCACACTAAACTACAGAGCATCCCACACTAAATATCACACACTAAACTACCGAGCATCCTACACTAAAATACTGAGCATCCCCCACTAAACTACTGCGCATCCCACACTAAACTACAGAGCATCCCACACTAAATATCACACACTAAACTACCGAGCATCCTACACTAAAATACTGAGCATCCCCCACTAAACTACTGCGCATCCCACACTAAACTACAGAGCATCCCACACTAAATATCACACACTAAACTACCGAGCATCCTACACTAAAATACTGAGCATCCCCCACTAAACTACTGCGCATCCCACACTAAACTACAGAGCATCCCACACTAAATATCACACACTAAACTACCGAGCATCCTACACTAAAATACTGAGCATCCCCCACTAAACTACTGCGCATCCCACACTAAACTACAGAGCATCCCACACTAAATATCACACACTAAACTACCGAGCATCCTACACTAAAATACTGAGCATCCCCCACTAAACTACTGCGCATCCCACACTAAACTACAGAGCATCCCACACTAAATATCACACACTAAACTACCGAGCATCCTACACTAAAATACTGAGCATCCCCCACTAAACTACTGCGCATCCCACACTAAACTACAGAGCATCCCACACTAAATATCACACACTAAACTACCGAGCATCCTACACTAAAATACTGAGCATCCCCCACTAAACTACTGCGCATCCCACACTAAACTACAGAGCATCCCACACTAAATATCACACACTAAACTACCGAGCATCCTACACTAAAATACTGAGCATCCCCCACTAAACTACTGCGCATCCCACACTAAACTACAGAGCATCCCACACTAAATATCACACACTAAACTACCGAGCATCCTACACTAAAATACTGAGCATCCCCCACTAAACTACTGCGCATCCCACACTAAACTACAGAGCATCCCACACTAAATATCACACACTAAACTACCGAGCATCCTACACTAAAATACTGAGCATCCCCCACTAAACTACTGCGCATCCCACACTAAACTACAGAGCATCCCACACTAAATATCACACACTAAACTACCGAGCATCCTACACTAAAATACTGAGCATCCCCCACTAAACTACTGCGCATCCCACACTAAACTACAGAGCATCCCACACTAAATATCACACACTAAACTACCGAGCATCCTACACTAAAATACTGAGCATCCCCCACTAAACTACTGCGCATCCCACACTAAACTACAGAGCATCCCACACTAAATATCACACACTAAACTACCGAGCATCCTACACTAAAATACTGAGCATCCCCCACTAAACTACTGCGCATCCCACACTAAACTACAGAGCATCCCACACTAAATATCACACACTAAACTACCGAGCATCCTACACTAAAATACTGAGCATCCCCCACTAAACTACTGCGCATCCCACACTAAACTACAGAGCATCCCACACTAAATATCACACACTAAACTACCGAGCATCCTACACTAAAATACTGAGCATCCCCCACTAAACTACTGCGCATCCCACACTAAACTACAGAGCATCCCACACTAAATATCACACACTAAACTACCGAGCATCCTACACTAAAATACTGAGCATCCCCCACTAAACTACTGCGCATCCCACACTAAACTACAGAGCATCCCACACTAAATATCACACACTAAACTACCGAGCATCCTACACTAAAATACTGAGCATCCCCCACTAAACTACTGCGCATCCCACACTAAACTACAGAGCATCCCACACTAAATATCACACACTAAACTACCGAGCATCCTACACTAAAATACTGAGCATCCCCCACTAAACTACTGCGCATCCCACACTAAACTACAGAGCATCCCACACTAAATATCACACACTAAACTACCGAGCATCCTACACTAAAATACTGAGCATCCCCCACTAAACTACTGCGCATCCCACACTAAACTACAGAGCATCCCACACTAAATATCACACACTAAACTACCGAGCATCCTACACTAAAATACTGAGCATCCCCCACTAAACTACTGCGCATCCCACACTAAACTACAGAGCATCCCACACTAAATATCACACACTAAACTACCGAGCATCCTACACTAAAATACTGAGCATCCCCCACTAAACTACTGCGCATCCCACACTAAACTACAGAGCATCCCACACTAAATATCACACACTAAACTACCGAGCATCCTACACTAAAATACTGAGCATCCCCCACTAAACTACTGCGCATCCCACACTAAACTACAGAGCATCCCACACTAAATATCACACACTAAACTACCGAGCATCCTACACTAAAATACTGAGCATCCCCCACTAAACTACTGCGCATCCCACACTAAACTACAGAGCATCCCACACTAAATATCACACACTAAACTACCGAGCATCCTACACTAAAATACTGAGCATCCCCCACTAAACTACTGCGCATCCCACACTAAACTACAGAGCATCCCACACTAAATATCACACACTAAACTACCGAGCATCCTACACTAAAATACTGAGCATCCCCCACTAAACTACTGCGCATCCCACACTAAACTACAGAGCATCCCACACTAAATATCACACACTAAACTACCGAGCATCCTACACTAAAATACTGAGCATCCCCCACTAAACTACTGCGCATCCCACACTAAACTACAGAGCATCCCACACTAAATATCACACACTAAACTACCGAGCATCCTACACTAAAATACTGAGCATCCCCCACTAAACTACTGCGCATCCCACACTAAACTACAGAGCATCCCACACTAAATATCACACACTAAACTACCGAGCATCCTACACTAAAATACTGAGCATCCCCCACTAAACTACTGCGCATCCCACACTAAACTACAGAGCATCCCACACTAAATATCACACACTAAACTACCGAGCATCCTACACTAAAATACTGAGCATCCCCCACTAAACTACTGCGCATCCCACACTAAACTACAGAGCATCCCACACTAAATATCACACACTAAACTACCGAGCATCCTACACTAAAATACTGAGCATCCCCCACTAAACTACTGCGCATCCCACACTAAACTACAGAGCATCCCACACTAAATATCACACACTAAACTACCGAGCATCCTACACTAAAATACTGAGCATCCCCCACTAAACTACTGCGCATCCCACACTAAACTACAGAGCATCCCACACTAAATATCACACACTAAACTACCGAGCATCCTACACTAAAATACTGAGCATCCCCCACTAAACTACTGCGCATCCCACACTAAACTACAGAGCATCCCACACTAAATATCACACACTAAACTACCGAGCATCCTACACTAAAATACTGAGCATCCCCCACTAAACTACTGCGCATCCCACACTAAACTACAGAGCATCCCACACTAAATATCACACACTAAACTACCGAGCATCCTACACTAAAATACTGAGCATCCCCCACTAAACTACTGCGCATCCCACACTAAACTACAGAGCATCCCACACTAAATATCACACACTAAACTACCGAGCATCCTACACTAAAATACTGAGCATCCCCCACTAAACTACTGCGCATCCCACACTAAACTACAGAGCATCCCACACTAAATATCACACACTAAACTACCGAGCATCCTACACTAAAATACTGAGCATCCCCCACTAAACTACTGCGCATCCCACACTAAACTACAGAGCATCCCACACTAAATATC